TAAAACCAGTTTTAATTATCAGTTGGCTTGAACCAAATGGCTGAACGAAATGTCAACGCCACTATTAGAACGACCCAACCCCAAATTGTATGGACCACTAGAAGTGACCTAATTTAATAGTGTCACTCGTGGCCCGTTTTACCTTTACTTGGAAGGCTTTATGTTGTTGTCCATTTTGGAGCCCATTGACTTGAGTGTTGGGCCTTTGGGCCGTAACTTTAACCTATACCTAACTTACCATATTTGGACTCCTTACTTGGGCTATATACATGCTTCTTCTCACTACCTCCATACAACCCGTAAGAAAAAAGAAAGAATCGTAGCCTCTGCTCTTTCTTCCCGTTTTCTCTGTGATTCTATTCGGTTGCTTTTCACCTGTGATACCTTTGTGGTCGTTTCCTGTGTGGAATAGTACATCTTGGTGAGTTCTTTGTGGCAAGTAAAGCAACCGTGAAGGGAAGAAACCGTTTGGGTCAATTGGGTTTAAGTTCGATTGTGGTGTTGACATTGGTGGTTAAACTGAGCCCGGAAAGATCTTGGAATTGCTGGGATTTCACCCTTACAACTAGTACCAGAGCATTGTGGTAAAAATCCGGCCAAAACCAACCAGAAAACAGAAAAATCGGACTACCCAGTTCCTTACACAAAAATCGAACCTGAAAACGCGATTTCCCGTCAATCTAGAAGTCTATTGGTGAAAAGGAAACCAGGGTTAAGACGTGCAGGTGGAGGCGGTGCTGGGTGTGCAGCGCGTGATCTCGACGGCGGCACGTGGCGAAGATTCTGGAGAAGTTGTCTTTAGGCAGTTTGTTCCTCTCATTATTTCTAACATTTTTATTGTATGAAGTTTTCTGTTTCAGGTTACGTAGAAAAAATTGGACGATTTTGTCCTTGGTGGATCAACAGTCGAAATTGCCATATATTTGCTGAATTACTTTATGCCAAAATTGCAACCCTAAAGCAGTAAATTCGAATCTCTCGTGATTTACGGATTCAGACAAGTTCGCTCTGGTAAATTGACTGAAACTTTACATTATCGTACTAGCAGATCATCGTGTGGGGTGATCAACAGGATTGGGGGTTGTCATTGCTTGACAACCATTGCTTGTTCTAGAAATTAGGATTACTTGCTCTTAATTTTTGTGATTGAGTACTTATTTTTGGATAAATTAGTGTATTGTGCTTTATGCTATAATAGCCAAGAAATTTCGTTTGGTTGGATATATCTATTTTGTTGCATCGTAAATTTCGCTGTGTTGTTACTTTCGTTAGAATACCTAGACCTTACCCATTCAAACGTTCCCTTGATCTAAAACCGCGAGTCTTACAAAATTTTGGGAATCTAGAACGGTGTATATTGCGGTCGTATGATTACTTTGTATGATCTATTTGCCCATTTGATTGCTTCGTTTTTTCCCAAAATGTCTTCGCATTTTGAAGTTGGTATTTTCAATGGAAAAGGTGATTTTTCAATCTGCCAACAAAAAATGAAAGATATTTTGATCCAACAAAAGGTTTCAAAAACCATTGAATGCAATTTTCCAGCTAATTTTTCAAAAGAACAAAAAAAAAGAAGTTGATGAGATTGCTTATGCTTCAATCATTTTACATCTCTGTGACGCTGTTTTGAGAAAAGTAGGAAAATTGAAAACCACAAAAAATCTTTAGAAAAAGTTGGAAGATCTGTATTTGCTTAAATCCACTCCCAATAAACTTTATCTTCTTGAACGTTTCTTCAGTTTTAAAATGGACCCTTCAAATGATATTGATGACAATCTGGACGTTTTCAATAAACTTGTCCAAGATATTGTTAACTGTGAAGAAACTGTGTCTGAAACCTAAAAGGCTAATCTTGCTTAATTCTATGCCTGACACCTATAAGGAAGTTAAGAACGCAATTAAGTACGGTAGGGACACTTTAACGCCTGAAATTGTCATAGACTCACTTAGGAGTAAGGAGATGAAAATTAAGGTTGAAAATGAAGATAAGAAGAGTGGTGAGTTACATATGATAAGGAGAAGAATGAAATTTAAGCAAATGAATTTGGGTAGAGCTCAAAATAGTGGTGATTCGAGTAATAACTCGAGTGATGAAGGTAGTAAGAAGAAGAGCAAGAAACGGGACAAGTCTAGTGGTAAACGGTGTTACAGCTGCGGTAAGTCTAGACATTTTATTAGGGATTGTCCCAATAAGAAGGATAAACAGAAGGGTTATGTGAGAGGTGAAATGAATGTGGTTGAAAGGTCGAGCTATAACCCCAGTGAGGTTTATTGAGAGTGTAAACCTAGTCACTGTATAAGCATCTGTGTGTAATCCTTTTTGCATGTGTGTGATTGCTAATTTGTTGCATGATTATATGTTGCACTTCAATTTGTTTGATATGTATGTTTGCATGAATTTGAGGTAATGTGATTTCTTGGTGTGATCGTTTGCATGCATAGTGGGTTAAGATGCATTAGCAGTGTGTTATATGTCTTTTGGTAAGGTGGAGTATAGATGCCTAGGGGTACATGATGTTTTGTACCAGGGAATGTAGAGTGTGACATTTGAATCACGAGTGAAGATGTGATCAAATGTGTAGAATCCTTTATCCGTGAAAGAGACCCTATACAGGTGGAGTGTGAGAGAGACACTTCTATCACTTCTGTAAGGTGGAGTCCCACTATCCACGTAGGTTGGGAGAAGTGATGTGGTGATAGAGGATTATCCCGAAAACTTGGGAACTATAGTGACTTGCCAATTAGACATGAGTTGAGATATTAGTTTAGTAAGTATAGTGGGCGATTAGAGGAGATATGTGTTCTCGAGATAGGAGTAATACGGAGTGGGATAGGATAGATGTAGTGAGATCTTTCGTGAGGTCATTTATACATGTGTTGCATATGTGTTCGACCGTGTGCTGATTAACTTGGTGTTAATCGGTGATTCTGTGTGAACGTGAATTTGAAAAGATCTGTGTGAGGTATCCTATATAATATCTTTATCGCATGATTAGTTGTTCACTGTAAGTATGTGTTTCTATCTGGGTGTTCTTGACTTTAGCCCTGGTGAGTATACGAAGCAGGTACGGTGTGTGTTTCAGGTTGGAAACACGAGGTAAGGTCTGTGAGCCCAATTTTATTGGATTACCTTGATTTTGCAAGTATAAACTGTGTGTTTTGATTGTTTGCAGATTATTGGGCATCAAGGTGGAGATTGTTGGGTTTTGATACCCAATAACTCCCCAAACTATGATGTAAAACCGGTTTTAATTATCAGTCGGTTTGGACCAAATGGTTGAACAAATGTCAACGCCACTATTAGAACGACCCAACCTCAAATTGTATGGACCACTAGAAGTGACCTAATTTAATAGTGTCGCTTGTGGCCCGTTTCACCTTTACTTGGAAGGCTTTATGTTGTTACCCATTTTGGAGCCCATTGACTTGAGTGTTGGGCCTTTGGGCCGGGACTTTAACCTATACCTAACTTATCATATTTGGACTCCTTACCTGGGCTATATACATGCTTCTTCTCACTGCCTCTATACAACCGGTAAGAAAAAGGAGAGAACCACAACCTTTGCTCTTTCTTCCCATTTTCTCTATGATTCTATTCGGTTGCTTTTCACCTGTGATACCTTTGTGGTCGTTTCCTGTGTGGAATAGTACATCTTGGTGAGTTCTTTGTGGCAAGTAAAGCAACCGTGAAGGGAAGAAATCGTTTGGATCGATTGGGTTTGAGTTCGATTGTGGTGTTGACATTAGTGATTAAACTGAGCCCGAAAACACCTTGGAATTACTGGGATTTCACCCCTACAAAAACCAGTGGAGTTGGTGGACTGTGGTTTAGGGGGAGAAGTAGAGGAGATGGGTCTTGAAAATGGATGAATTTTCTAGTTAGGAAATCTTGGTTTCTATTTATGAGTGAAGAAGGCCAATTGAGTAATGTCTGATTACTGTGATTTGTTTTGTGCTTCAAGCAGTTGCTCAAAATTAAGTAGTTCAGCTTGAAAAGCATCAAAGGTAATTGGTTGGTCTCGGGTAGCAAAGCTTAGAGATGTGATAAAAGGGGTGAAGACGGGATTCAATCCAACAACAATATATGAGATTAGATCATCATCGTCAACTAGTTTTATTGCAGCTAAGAGTTGGTCAGACAAACTTTTAGCCATGAACTAGTAATCAGAGCAGGATTTGTCATATTGTTGTAGAGTTTGGAGCTATATCTTAAGATGAGAGATTCTGGAACGAGATTGAGGAGCAAATTTGGTAATAAGAGCATTCCAAACTTGTTTAAAGGTAGTGAGTCCATACACAATGGAAATGACTTTCTCACTAAGGGTGGCATTCAACCATGCCAAAATAAACTGATCATTCTTCTGCCAAACCAGATATGCTGGATTGACATCATAAGTTGGTTTGCCTGTTGAGTCAATGAGGAATTGAGAGGGACAGACCTCAAAGCCATCAACAATGCTCAAGAGGTCGTGACTTCTTAGGATTGGGATGAACGGAGTGGTCCAGTTCAAATAATTGTGGCCTTTAAGCTTAACTTATACCAAAGCAGTAATATTTGGGATAACAAAAGACGATGTTTGCAAAGGAAGAGGCCATAATGTATCCCAAAAAAAAAAAAAAAAAAAAAAAAAAAAAGGTGTGAACTTTAGTGGCTCTGATACCAAGTTTAAAAATTGATATGAAGGCTAGTTTAAAAATTAAATAATCCCAACCAAGTATTCATTGTATTTATAGATGGATTACTAGAATTTGAAAGTAACAGAAAGATACAATTGGATAAGAATATGATTTCTACAACTGTGAACTGAAATACATGAGGAAGTCTATTTAGATATTCTAATATGATATAATCTTGAGTCCTTGATCTCCTTCTCATCATTTGAATTCAAACTCTGTGAGTTATCTTCAATAACAGAAATGGATATATGTCTAACAACAATCATCTTTTGTCAAAATTCAAGCGTGGGATCTAAAAAATGGTTTTTAAAAATAAATGAATATGATGATGTCAAATAGGATGTTGCCAACCAATATTGTCAATCAATGTAGTACACATGGTATGATTCTCGTAGAAAATTGCCACCCAAAATGCCACTCGTGCTAGGTCAAGATGCTGGCTCGGCCTTCTTTTTTTTTTTCTTATTATGAGGAAAAAAAAAAAACCACACATATTAAAGCCCAAATGTACCTCAGACATAGAGAGCTTCATTTCAGCACTTGCTAGCTGCTGCTTTCTAGAAAACTTAAAATTTCTCGCTATCATAATTCTGACTTAATGGAAAACTAATAAGGCAGTTGAAATTAAATTTTAAGGAAGTTTTGATATAAAAAAAAATAAAATAAAATAAAAATTAGCAACAGATAAAACCTTTTATCAAAGTTTTATCAAAACATAAACTAGCTCATACTCATGACGTGAGCTATAAGTAAAAACTCTTTAGAGGCTCATGTAACGCAAAGAAGGAAACGACTAAAAACCCAGAAATTTTCTTTCTTCGAGTTTTGAGTTCAACTCGTCTATTGAAGGAATCTTTCCACCGGCTTTCACAATCCTGCACCACCACGTTTTAATCTCGTCCTGCAACAGAATAGGCATGAAGATTAAGTATAATGCTGAATTTTTTTGTAGCAGTTCACTGAATTACAGAGAAATGAAAGATAAAGAGAGAGTAATAGCAAATATGTGTCAAAATTACGACATCAGTGACTTGCATATGGAATATATGGTGCAAAGCTTTAAGCAATTCTACTTGCGCAAAATAAGTGGAAATCATATTCTGTTTAATGCAAAAAAAGCCAAAACAATGGCCTCCCAAGGTGTCCAAAAGTATTACATATAACCGAGGTACAAATATGTGACAAGTTCTATAGATCAGTATATTGATAGTGCTCGAATAAGAATTAAGCAAACATTATTACCTAAGCTTATTTTGTTTCAAATTAAAATTAACACAAATTTTCTTTACTCGAGTAGAGTCTGTAAAATTTGAGGTTTTTAAATTTTGAAGTCGCACCTATAGTTACAAGTAAAATTGATGTAAGCATGACACACTCACTTTTCGAGTGCAAGTAGCAACTCGGAAATAATAATCATGCATCAGACTTAGACAAGCCATAAAAGTGAGAAATTTAAGGATACACATACCTCCGAGAAATCATGGTTGGAGACATATTGGCTCTCAACAGAATATTTGACGCCTTCAACATTGGCAAAGATAGAAGTCTTGGAACTCCTTCCTGAATTCTCTCTTTGTGCTCCTGTTGATTCACAGAAAATACAAATGAAGAGTGACTAACGAATTCACAAAGGTCAGAAATGCTAAATTTAACAGTAAAAGACAGACCTTCTGTTCATTTGACTCAATCCCAAAACTTAAAGCTAACAAAAATTACATACCTGTTATGCAAGCAACATAGTAACCTGTTCCCCCAAGTTCTGTTGCCCGACTTTCCTCTTTGTCCAACCTGTCGGTCCACTTTCCAAGCCGCAAACGCAGAAAAAAACCATTTAATTTCGACTGAGAGAGAAGGGAGTTCATCCATCTGGATATAGATAAAGAATGATCATTTATCGATAAGCAGAAAGGTGAAGGATTAGAATCTGACGGCAACAATTCGAAAGTACAACAAACAGATTTTTGTCACTAGTTTGGCAATCATCTATCTCTCTCTCTCTCTCTCTCTCTCTCTCTCTCTCTCTCTCTAGGATAATTGAATATAGTTAAATCATTTGTACACCTCCAACATAGTATGCAGTTGTGTGAGAGGTTGAATTTCGGAATGCAATGAGTGCTACGTAAGAGGATTAATCAACTGGAACAAGTAAACGAAACAAGTTCAGAAGAATCTAATGGCAGTCTGGCTACCTGAGAATATCTACACGAGACAGACGCAGTTTCCTTATGGCATGAAACACCTCTACAGGTGCAGCTTCATTTTGTGAACTCAATACTTTGCACAAAGGAAGACTTAGATCATCTTTAATATTGTTCTCCAAATTTGATGCAATCCTATTTTTTACTTCATAAATTCTTTTTCCCAATAACTCATTTGCACCCGATGTCGGATTACTTGGAGTGTAATCTGGAAGTTTTCTGAAGCTTTGAACCTTTTGGTCAATAGCCAATTGGGAATTCTCTTCCTCTCTTCCCAGATAGCTCGAATGTTTTTCATTGCCAGAACAGAACATAAGATGACGAGAACTATAATTAATGAAAGACGCACTCTCTTTCGATGGGCAGTGGCCACTTGAGGAAGCCAGGGGGCATGTATTAGCCCAATGGTCGAGTTGAGAACATCTTATGCACAAACAATCAGATTCTTCAACTCCGTCAACTAAACTGATTTTCCTTATGAGATCCTTCCGCTCGATTTCTGTTACATCTGGGCATTCAAGCAAACCGTGGCCAATTTTACCGCAAAAGTAACACATTGTAGATGTGCACGCTGAAGATTTTGTCTTATATGCTGGTATAATGTGCCTCAAAGCATCCAATCTTCTTGCAAACACAGTGGCCATTGCCTCTGAACTTTCAAATTTTGGGGGAGTTAGTATGGGATTCAGTTTGTTTATGGACTTGTTACTGGCAGCCATCTCACTATTGGCAGCAAAAGTCTTCATCTCAGAACTTTCCTGATCAATCGGAAAAGCAGCACCAACTTCAGTGTTTGGGGGAGGTAGTATAGGATCCAGGTCGATTACAGACTTGTTACTGACAGATGTCTCACCATTGGCAGCAAAATTCTTCATTTCAGAACTTTCCTGATCAATCGGAAAAGAAGCACCAACTTGAGTGTTAGGATTGACCCTCACGCTATCTGGGGAACCATCCAGGACTTGGTCTGTACTCCGGTTGCAGTTTTCTAACTCGGGAGGTTTAACTAAAAGACGGGTAATCCACAAACTAGCAAGAGGACTACTTTTGTGAGGCATTGTACTTGTTGCCTTTCCTTCCCAAGGGAAGTTAAGACTTGTGTTCTCCGCAGTGCTATCCACATGTTTGCATAGAGAGCCTGATGAGCTTATCCCATCTTTCTCTCTCTCAATTACCAAGTCATTTGAAGTTTTGTTCCCTTCTGCATTGGTCTCACAAGCAAAATCTACAGAGAGAATCCACGGTTCACTTGAGAAGCCCACAGAATTTCTTGATATAGGTAGATTCACTTCTTCATTTGGTAAGGCAATCTGCTTGAAAGAGCTATCCTTGTGGCATGATCTTGGACGATTCTCAAGGAATGTTTCTTCAGCCGCCGTACAGCCTTTAGATTCTCCTATTGAATAATTCTCATTTAAAAATCCAGAGTCTGGAATCCTTGTGTTTGAACAATACAAAGACTGAAACATAGCTAGAAACCCTATATTTTGGCTTTTGGAATCATGAGTTTTGTCAAGCGTGATTGTTTGCGGATGATCAAAATCATTGGAATGAGAAAGTGCAAGAGCACGAGAAGGAGACGCTTCTTTATTTAAGTCTTGGACGCCCTTTACCATGTTTGCTATCCAATTCATGAAAGAGCTATCTTGATTGACAATGGATGTTGAAGCATGAATTCCTTGATTTTGTTTTTTCATTCTTTTGTTTTCAACAATCAACTCTCGACACTTTGAACGCTTTATACCTTTTGAAAATAATCCAGCGCTGTTACAACTTTCCGCACTCGTATGGCTGTCTTCCATGTCATTGGTGGATCTTGCATTGTCATCTCCATCAGATAATGCTTTTTCTTTGCCTTTTTCCCAATACATTTGAATCCTGAGATTTGTTGAAGTTTTTTCAACTGAAAGAGAATTGTGACTCGGTAGTATCTCTTTACTTGACGTGTGAGTGTCTTTTGCAGTTGGATGGTACAAGTCATTTTCAGCAGTGCACTCCAGCTTCACCAAAGGAGGGGCTCCGAATAAATCCAGCATCTTTACACTATTCATACTCACTTCTCCAGTAGCTGATCTTACTTCATTGTCCAGTTCCTGCATGGATTGTATATTTGGTGTAGAACCAAGAAGAGCCTCAGAGAGTTTTGCTGGACAAGGTTCAGAACCAATAGCAACACCTAATTGCATAATTTCACTGCCACTAGCAATATTTTCAATTTTACCATTCTGACTGCTGCATGTTTCTCTAATAATATTACCAGCATACTGCCTGGTGATTGGCATGTCAAATTTACAGTCAGCGTTTCCATGCACTACTACATCTTGTTCTGCAGAAAACACGGAAGTTAAATAAGAGCTTTTGTCCCTAATTATAATTACTAATTTTCCATCTCGGTGGAAGCTTTTAAGACCATATATGAATGAAAAAATAATATTCATAGAGACCACCGAATCTCCCCAGTACATTTTCTTGAACTCATGTCTCAGTTAAATGAGTGTGAAATATAAGCAAAATGTACCTGCGGTTTTAATGCTGCCTTCAATGCTGTTTGTAATTTCGACAATGTGTGGACTACACAAACTCTCTCTATTTTCCTTAAGATGTCCCTCTTCTTGATTAGCATCTGTAAAGCCACCTCCCTTCATTTCATCATTGGTTTCTGTTAAATAACAGTCAATATATTTTCTGTGAGTACTTTAGTCCAAATAAACTAAAAAGAAAAAAGGAAAATGAAAGACTGGTAGAGGGAAGATCAACGAAATGGCATTTGGACAACATTAAAATGAAATATACTCTGTAATGGGGAAATATAGACGAAACCAACTCAATACCTTCACAGCGTCCACAATTTGCATTCAACAAAGGGATTGGACTGCTTCTAAGAGGGCTAGCTGAAGTCACTTTATCATCAACTTTGCTATCCACATTTAGAAATGTTTGAGGAACAGTTGACCTTCCCACACTTATAACTCTGCCATCTTCTGGTCCCCAGGATCTGATGATTTGGGATGGAGAAGGAACCTTATTGCTCGATTCCACATTCCATAAAAGGAAAGGATTTTTATCTGCCAAGTTGGAATCTGCACATTTCAGACTCAAACCTTTATGTGGTAACCAAACTAATTCGGATAGGGGATCAGATGCTGCAAATGCCATGTCCCCTATTAAGTTTGCATTTACACCTGCACCTGAACTACTGTTCATCTTCGACCGAATGTGGTAGCTGGTAGAACCCAGAGCAAGTCCTAAATCAACATCTTCATCATTCGTATCCATTATCAACAATGCGTCATTTTTGGCCATAAACACTGAAGTTAAACAAATATATCGGGATAAGCCATTTATGTAGCCTTGATACCCCGGAAATTGCCCCCAAAAAAACCATAAAATCAAATTAGTATTTACGAGGAACAGATTTTCACATAGCTAGAGACAATATTTTATAAATCCATCACTAATACAATATACAAAAATGCATAGAGAAGAATCAAATATATGAGACGTATCAGTAAGCTATGTGAAAATCTGTTCCTGATAAAATATTGTCTACTAGTAGAAGTCACCTAGACAAGATATCGTGACTTCTTCTCTTCAAAGTTCTACAATTTCTTTATGCAGGATGCAAATAAAATCACCTTGCCTCAAAATCATCTAGTCAATAAACACAGTCCCTCTTATTTGTGATTGCCTATTTAGCCTTGGCAACTAAAAATGTGATTCTTTTTTTTTTCCCATCATATAAAAAATCTATGCCTTTCACCTCTCGTATCGATTCAAATATGCTTTCCATAATGGTTTAAAAATCATGACTTCTTTTGGATACAAATTTATAAATGGTTTATATATTAGGTCAATGTAAAACATTAATTTCAACCTCGCTTTCATAACTCCAACTTTTATCATCCACGCATTTCGTGAGACCCTATACTATTCCTCTTCATAAATCAAATGTGAATTTGCCAAATGGAGGCCAACACTGGAGATCCTTCTCTTTAACCTTTCAAACTTTCAGAAAAGGATGTGATTTGTAAACATCTACAACCAACTTGTGGCACGTGAATGGTGGAAGCAAATAACAAACATGGATTTTCCTTTTCTCTTTTACTTCCCACATTCTGAATAAAATTAATGGAAATATCATAAGAGGGAGAATGTCTTACACAGAGAATTGATTTCATATACCATCAAGATTAGTGCTGATATTTCAGCACAGTTCTATTACCATCAATGGGTGGCTCCAGAATTCGCATGGGCACTGACATCCCAAGAATATAGTCTTATGGCTCTTCATTATCTCTCAGATATTTAGTATTTCTCTTATTTATTACATCTTATCTACTGTTTATGGAGAATATTTCTCCCTGAGAAATGGAAAAACAACCTCAGGGAACCTCGTCGAGACAGTTTTCATCTCCTCAGCCACCCTCAGGCGCCTGGGCTGTATGAGGTAACCAGGGTCTTCATCTACATTAGTTATTTGGACATTCTGTATCTGTTAGTTTCTACTAAAATAGCATGATGAAACATATAAGGATATCCATAGAAAAATGGCGACAAAATGAAGAGCTCAGAAGCTTAAATAAGGACATAGGTTATGAAATTTTACATGTCAAGAAATTATATATATATATTTTTATTTAGCATAACAAAGCTATTTTGAATTATTAAAATGCAAAAATAATCAAGACCTGCTCATGCACACCATATCAAAGAACTTGAAGGATGTAAATTAGCAAGTCAAGACAAACTTTGAGAGTTGAATCTCAAATTCAACTACAATTAATGAGCTTAGCCTGAAAGATTGAGATAGAGGCACGAGATGGGATGGGATTTCGGGAGGGTACTTAAACCATGGAAGGCATTAAATGATATTTCTCTTATTATATGGCGGTAGTACCCGCAGGTCCCACTAACATCAACATAGTTCTGACCAAATAGAGCACAGAGCTTTTTCTATTAGTCGATATCGTATGATTATTTACGAAAATTCCAATTTTATGACCTCGACTCAACTGCCAAGTACTTAACAAAAGACACATGGCTTCCAGGCAATTTGTATTCTAATTTCCAAGCCAAAGAGGATCTACATTGCAAGTAGCCACATGAGATTAGTTTCCGACTCTCTGTTAGAGGAAGTGGCCAATCACAAACAACAAGTTTAGCCAGCAGCAAAAAGTGCACATCAAGTAGAGAAAGATTGTTCTAATTTTATCAATCCAGACAGCTGAAATTTACTACAAATTCAGATGAATCCAACAATTCCACAATAGAGACGCATCATAATAAATATAGCCAACAGATCCAATTATCATAAGCAAAAGGAAATCCCAATTACACACAAAAAATAAAAAAACCCTATCTTTTAATTTCTTTCAGAGAAATTACAGAAGTAAAAATCTTAACTATTACAACACAGCCAGAATATCCAAAAATACAAATGATACACACTTTTATTTTTCCTTGTTTTGGCATTCCCAACATTTGAAATCCGAAGTTAAATGTATTTTTCATGTTTAGGCAAATAAAAATCAGATCTCTTTCCATATAATTACATTTCTTGCAAGAAAGTAGGTCAATAATATCAATAAAAAATACCATTCCAAAAAGAGATAAACTGTTTAAAGATAAAACAAAATCAAGAAAGTTCCACATACCTTCTTACTCCTTAAACCCATTGCAGTTTAAGCACACCAGTTTTCATCTCTCTCTAAACGTCAAGAAAATACCAAGAAACACGGAGAAATAACCCACAAAGATTCAATAATCTAAAAGACTATGAAAAAACTGGAAAGCTCTTCAAAAGTCTGCACACATGGTGACAATTGCATGCACAAGTGGTTGAGAGGGCACCACGTGGACGTCGGCATGCCAGCCACTGCTACCCCAAATATCTGTATGTATTATTATTGCTAATTTACACACAAAAATTAGCTCAAAAGATTACCTTTTTACAGTTGCTATGAGTCTGTCTTTTGTGGGTTCAGGTTTATGAATATGCTGCCATTTAAAGGCCACACTTTTAAATTTTTCTTTACCTTTGTCATATCCAGATTTGGATTAGAGGGCTATGAAGAAATTATTTCTTAATCTATTTGATTCTCTAAATGACTCGATGATGAAAAGAAATAAGCTCGTACAGAAAAAAATGTATAGAAAGCAGATGTCAATACTACATTTGTTGATTTAAACGTTTTTTTTTTTTTTTATCTCATATCCAATAAAATTTTGCAAGCTAACAATTTATCAAAAAAATTGTCAAATATTTTTTTATATGTAGCAGGATTGCGATCAAAATATCTTGAATCTTTCTCATTGTGCGTGAAAGGTTAGTAGACTATTTTAAGGGTTTTGTTATCTTCCCATGAATATAGGAACAAAGTTAGGAATAGTGAGTTTCAATGATATTTTAAATAAATTAAAATGACTACCAATAAATGGATTTTTCAATAAATAAAAGTTGATAGGAGTTGTTTGACAAATTTTTAAATAAAAAATTTAGCGAATTTTGACCAAAGTTGATAATAAGTACGATTAAAAAGTTTGATAAAAATTATGGGTTCATAAAATATGTGACTAAAATTAAAAATTGACAAGTTCAAAATTGATAAATTTACCAAGTTTATCAAACAAGCATGTAATTTCCAATTCTAGGATATTTTACTAATTTTAAGTTACTCAGAGTAGGACAAAAATGTCAGCGATATATCCTATCCACAATGTTATGGTGATCGAATTTTTTTGACATAATAGCTGATCGACACTCACAATGAGAAGGGGCCTACTTCTTTTTTGGACTTTTTAATTCACGGAGGACTCACCCATGTGTGAGAGAATGTTAACTATTATGTCACAAAAAAATTCGAGCAAAGTAGTCCAATTCATATCCTATATTTTTCGTTGGACAAACCTGGTTTCAAGGATATAGAAGTTGAGAAAATAGGAAAATTTCTTGATTATCTCTGGAAATGAGGTTTCCTATAGGGTGAACATATTCTAACCACGGTTTTTTGTTAAATGCATTACATTTTAACTGTAATTAAGGATGTCAATTTTTTCTAATTTTTATATTTACGTCCTTAACTTTTTTTTTATCATATTCTTATCTTTAACCTTTAATTAATTAGTATGAGAAAATATTTTTTAGAACTTTTGTATTTTGTTGTTTATCTTTCTTATATAAAAATATAATAGGTAAATTATTATTTTTTTAATTCTCTCATAATGAATTTTTTCAACCGTCATCAAGGATAAAATGTTCTAATTAATAAAAGGTTGAAGAAAAAACACGATGAAAATGTTATAGGACATAAATGCAAAAATTAGAAAAAGTTGGATAATTTCACTGCAATTAAAAAGTGATGTAATTAAGAAAAAAATAAAAAATTGGGGTATTAATTTCATATAATTTGTGTTATTTTATTTCTAGGTTACTCGAGGTCGACCAAAAATTGCTAATGAAATCCCTCAATTTGTCAAAATGGCAGAAGATGGGTCTCTATGTTCTCATCTTATTCATATCATTTTCCTTTAGGTTAATGGAAAATCACTTTTTTTATGTAACTAAAATTGTTCAAATTCTTGATTATTAGTACCATTATATTCAAAAGTCATGTAACTCCCCCATTTTTATTTTTATTTTTATTCATCGTGATTGACCTGAGAATTGTTGGCGACGTATCTCAATTTGTAAGATAAATTAATGAAAACACCTTTTTCTACAAATAATATGATTCAAAATGCAAGATTATCTTGAAACATTATTCTCTTCCATATTTCAATTACTTTTAAATTACTCAATATTCACCAAATGTTACCATCACAACATATCCTTCAATTTGTCAAATTGCTGGACATGGGTCCTAATGTTTTTCATATAATTCACATCATTCTCCTTAGGGTTAGAGCAATGGTCCAATCCTACATTAAATTCATCCACCAAATTGATTGTTTTGACCTATCCAAACAGTATCATATGCTAGATTTTTGGCTTGCATCTAACATCCATATTGAAGTTGAGGGTCTCTATCAAGCTTGCTTATCTATAAATAGGGACAAGTCGTTAGACATGAGCCATTCATTCTTTAAAGGGGTAACAACTTGGTTCCTTAATCATAAAGACTCTAATAAGCTTTGTGCTTGTTACAGTACTCTAATATCAACTTTTTATTAATGATGTTTAAAGTCTTGACTTGACGAGATTTTTATGAGAAATAATTGAACTCATTGAATCGAATTGAAATATAATTGAGCCAAATTGGGAGAATTTTTATTCGAGATTACTTAATTTCAAATTTTACTTCTTTCAAATCAAATCAAACCCTTGGTACAATTCATTTTATTCCGACTAATTTTGCCCACCATCAAGAAGTAACCTAATATAAGTAATTGAATAGAAATTGCTTATAGTGATTAGGCCTCTTCCTTTGCATGTGTATTAGTTGCAGCATTTGGGGTAGGAATTTGGAGAGTGAAGAAATATTAGGCAACTTAACATGGTGCACTTTCTTGCATGCATCTAACTTAGATGGTTCATTCTTTAGTGCAAATGACATCGATTGACGGATACAATTACACATAAATCAAAAAAAAAATTCTTCTTTTTTAACCACCTATTCTTCGAAAAAAAAATATTATTCCATCCACTAAAATTTAAAATAATGAGGACCAAATGAAGGCTAAAACTTCTCTGACATCTAGAGACTCAAGAGTCATCAAAGTATGAATTCAAGTCATATTTTATTTATTATTTAGTGCTACATCAAGCCATAATAAGAAAATATTTTAGTGCAATGTTTGCCAAGATACTATAGTGTACCATTTCATAAAATAAAAAAAATAAAAAAATAAAAAAAATGTCTTTCTTCCAAAAATAAAATGTATACAAATACAAAAAGGTTAATGGCACAAAAATCCCTACGTTTGACACTTACAGTAAAAAATGTCAATACATTTCATTTTTTTTTATTTTTTATTTACATTTTCGTCCTTATTTCAACATTTCATTGCAAAAAACGTTATTTTCACCATTTTTAATGTAAAATGATCAAAACACCCTCCTATTTAAATAAAAAAAATAAAAGAATAAATTGTAATCTTATTTCTAAATATTTTAAAAAGTGCAAGTGAGTCCAAATAATTATTATAAGGCGAAATAGCACAAAATGTCCCTACTTTTGGCCTGTTGTATGCAAAACATTCCTACGTTTCAAATTGGTGAAAAAGTCATTTTTTGCAATGAAACGTAGAAAAAATGATAAAAATGCACAATAATAATAATAATAATAATAATAATAATAATAATAATAATAATAATAATAATAATAAACGTATAAACGTTTTTCCGCAAGAAGTGTCAAACGTAGGAACGCTTTGTGCTATTAGGCATTATTAAAATTGAAACCATCGCCCAAACCACCGAACTTCCATACCATTTTCGAATACCATCGCCCAAACTCCGACAGTACCATTTGTTTCAGAGAAACTCATGTCATTTCCAACACATTAGTCGACTATATTTATCGGGGCACCTGTCTTCTTGATTTTAAAGCATCAACAAATGGTTCATTAATCTGGCAGTTCAACAGTTTGAGCGATAGATGGTCGGAGTTTTTTCACTTCTAAGGTTGCAGTCACATTTGGAAAAAAATAGAGGAGAGAGAGTTTTTTTTTTTTTTTTGGTTATTTTTGAATATTTTAATGAGGCCTAATAACACAAAACGTCCCTACGTTTGACACTTCTTGTAAAAAATGTCCCTATGTTTCAATTTTTTTAATACTTTCATCCATATTTTCACATTTCATTGCAAAAAATTCATTTTCACCAATTTGAAATATAGGGATATTTTACACACTACAGACCAAACGTAGAGACGTTTTATACTATTAGACATTTTAATAATTATTTGGACTCGCTTGCATTTTTTTAAAATATTTAGGAGTAAGATTGCAATTTATTCTTTATTTTTCTTTTTCTTTTTCTGGTTTTGATTTAAATATGATGGTATTTTGATCATTTTATATTAAAATATGGTGAAGAGGACGTTTTCTGCGATGAAACGTTGAAATAAGGACGAAAATGAAAAAAAAAAAACGTTGAAACGTTTTTCGCAATAAATGTCAAACGTATGGACGTTTTATGCTATTAATCCAATACTAAAAATTTAGTTTTTTTTAATATAAATAAAATATTGGATTCCCTCAATCCCATTCAGATTGGTTTGCTTTCATTTTCACACAGATTAAGAAAATGTAATTAACATAATTGGGAATATAAATTGTACTTATATATTTTTTTTCTAATATACCCTGCATTAAATAATGGTTTAAATAAAAGTAGTTTGTATTTGTTGATAACAAGACACAATAAATAGGGACATATTAGAAAACTAGTCAAAGTTGAACGTGCATTGCACGTTACTTTAAAATACTTTATAAATGATGTAAAAGTAACATTTTGTACCAATTTGTTGGAAGATTTGATGCATCTTGGACGAATTAAAGAAAATAAAATTTAGCATAGAAATTTCAGAGAAGAAAATTGTATTTTCAAACCTCAATTTCTATGATTCAAATTTTTTATAATGATAAAATACTATAAATGAGTCATCTTTTTATATTACATTTGATACATAAAAATTAATTATTAATACATAAATTAAACACCCATTCTAGATAATTGAATATGAATAAATTCAACTATGATAGATTCATGTAATTCAATATTTATCAAATAAAAATTCATTGAATCTCGGTTAATGTGAATGTTAATTAATTGAGAATTAATAACACAAATTTCATAAAATAACAATAATTATGTAGTATTTATTACATATCACAAAACGAAAAGTAAAGTATTATTGAAATAATTGAATTGTAAAGGGATTAAAATCGTCCAAAAAATGATTCTCCCTTGACTTGATATTTTAATATATTATAGATTTATTACATATCAAAAAAAGGAAAAATAAAGTATTATTGAAATAATTGAATTGTATTGAGGTTAAATCGTCCAAAAAATAATTCTCCCTTGATGTAATATTTTAATATATTATAGATTATAGATATAGATTAAGAAA